GAGCAACAGGAGTTTATGCTGATGGACTTGGTTATATTTAGCTCATTAAAACAATTATAATTGGCCTTAATTGAATATTATTTGATCACTTACAACACAATAACCTATTCATTTACACTCGTTAGCCAAGAATTAAAGTTAAACCACCAATTCCGTTAAATAATTGGGCGGGTGGAATAGATATTTAAGCGGTCCTATAGGACAGTTCTGCTCGTATTCTAAGTGCCAATTCCTTTGCTTTCTATTAAGGGCCAGGCCTGAAGGTCGTAATGCCAAGATATCCATTATACCTTAAGCCGCCACAACAAAACTGTCGGCTTCAGCGGTATACATTTTTTGCATGATTTATCTTACAACACGCAGTAGATGACGGGTGGTCAGAATTATGCATTCGGCAAAGCATGAAACGTATGTATACCACCTACCGCTGAAGCTTATGGATTCCGGCCAAAGTATCCATAGAAACTTCCGGACTGAACCAATAATAGTTCCTTTTCAAGTATTGAATCAAGCCTAATGCACTAATTGTTGATACCAACAAAAATGGCGGTATTTGAACTGCTATTTTTACGACAGATTATGCAACAAATAATGAAGTTGCGGAAGCGGAAGTCAGTGACAATAATAATAAAGATGTTGGAGTTTTTGAAAATGAGAACCATGATTTTGGTGGTTTTGTATCACGAAATAGGATACCTCACTGCACGACAGGGTAACCGCTGGCAAAACCACAGTTTCTTGACCACCCTTGAATGTTGGCAAGCCTAGATAAATCACGCTGTTAGTCTTTCATGTACTTGTTAAGTGCCTGAGATGCATACAAATTATCGGCTTAGTGGTTTGTTCCAGTATAAGCAGACCTTCATGGGCGGTTGGCTGCTCTTAGGTAGTGCAAAAGATCCTAAAATCTTAAATGTCTAAAGAACAAAAAGCAAACAGGGTCCTCATCACTCACATCCAAGCTAATCTTGATCACCTCCTTGCTGACGCTGTGTGAAATCACTGAAATTCCGCGTTGTATTGCATGCCGAAGTAGAACCTGAACCGGCGTTCTCCAGTGGGCTTGGGCAACTTTCTCCACGTATTCTTCCGCCAGTGGAGATGGGACATGTCTGTTGAATTTCATCAATATACGGATTGGGCTATGGAGCAACTGAGGTGGTTTCGACAAAACAGGTGCTTCAACAATTAATTTTAGATCAGCATTGTACTAAGGTCGAACATGAGAGAAAGAAGAACCGGGAGAACCTGTACCCTAAAAATGTTTAAACGTAATCACGTCTGATCTGGAGTTGGTGGAGACACACATTCCCTCCCCTTTTTGGTCCAGTACATCCCCCCCCTACGAATTCCTATAATCCATGTGTATTCCCTTATATACTTTTCATGGACACAATAATTGCCGGTGCTACCGGGTCCGAAATTCCGGCTCCTAGGTCTTGAAGCATCCACATGTTTCTGATTTTGGTTTTGAGAAGGTTTAACATGGTGTGAGCGGAGGGTTAATCTTTTCCGCCTCCGAGTACTGCACAAATCCGTTCAGATATCTTAGAAGGCTTCGCTTGGCTTAGCTTATTTACTCAAGCTACTTTTATGGACTAGACAACACTCAATGTCAACAAAGGTGTTAAAATACTTTAAATTCAGGACAGAAACACTACAGGTCACCATATAAAGGACACTAGCAAGCCCCCATAATAGGAATTCTAGCATATTGTTTAAGGATTATTTATATGCCCATGTAAACGGCCCACAGAAATATCAACTCAACGCCCATGTATTAAAGACGCTCCTGTGCATAATTCCAGGGCTGTTAGATATACTTGTGTTCCAACCCTTACAGCAGATTTAACTTAAGCCTAAACTATAACCCCAGTCCTAAGCCTACAGTTGTCGCTCACTCCAAACTTAACTTGAAACAAACTTTAACGCTTATCTGAATCCTTACCCAAAACTGAACACTATATTAACGTAGTTGACCCAATTGGGAAAAAAATCGTGGCATTCGGCAGTATTCGAACCCACATAAGAGGGAGGACCTTCTACGCAAGCCAATGCTCTAGCTAGTTGAGCTACGAATGCCACGCCGAATCCCGCCAAATGCACTGTTTTTTTACAATTGGGTCAACTATATTAACCAAATCTGCTAAACCCCCTTAATAATTAAGTCAGCCTAGTAGTT